CCAATTGCTACCTCCTCCAAGAAGCATTTCCTGATTCACTCTCCTCACTCCCAAAAGTACAGTGCCTGGAAGCATACTTGAACTCATCACAGAACTCATCACATCTTATCTGAACTTTTTTGGAGGAGGAGGGACTTTCCAATTTTTGCTCTATACCATCAATTCTATGAATTTTTTTTCTTCTACACTCGGGCTCTTTGAGAACACACTTAGCACCTGACTCATTTCTGTATCTGATGTATGGCTAGCAAAATCTTACATAAATCAGGCACTCAATAGGTTTTGTTGAACAAATTAATAAATGACTCATGGACTTGTACCCTCGCAATTCTCTCTCCCCCTCCATAATTTGTGATCTTGATTCTAATGGTATTTAATACACATATGGACATTTAAAAAATAATGGCAACTTTTTGGGCTTAGTGTTACAAATCCCACAGACCACTCAATTAACTTATTTGTTATAAGAAATAACCACTTAAATGTCTACATATCTCCCATGTGTACACGTCAAAATTCATATATCTGCATATCACACAATTGTCATGAAGACCAAATAAGATAGAAGTAAAAACACTTTGAAAAAGCTAAAGAAAGCACATATAAATGGAAGGTCTTTTAGCATTAGCATCATTTTAGTGAGTCAGCTAGTGCTTTGTAACTGCTGTGTGTAGCACTGCCATTCAGCCACGAGAGGACTGTGTGACGAACAAAGATTTATCTGGCATTATAGATGCTGAGACATTAGCAGTGAACTAAACAAACATAAACTGTCCTCTTGGAGGTTATATTCTTGTGAGGCAAGGAGTATTAAGTAAACATGTAAATACATAGTATGACAGATGGTAAAAAACCATGTGGGAAAAATAAAGCAGAGAAGGAGCACAGGAAGTGTGAGGAGGCTGAACGGGTGGTGAGGGAAGGCCTTTCTGATAAGATATGTCAGAGAGGAGGTGAGCTGGCCAGCCACGTGGATAGCTGAGTAAGGGTATCCAAACAGAGGGAGCAGCAGGTGCAAAGGCTCTGCAATGGTAGTGAGCTCGGAATATGGGAGGTCCAGCAAGGACGTCACTGAGGCAGAAGAGGAGGGACCAAAGGGAAGGGTGGAAGGAGATGAGATCAGTCGGGAGAGGAGCAAGATTATGCAGGGCCTTATGGGACTCTGGGCCTCACTCAGTGAGTCAGGGGAGCCTTGCAGTGTTCTAAGAAGAGCAGAGACATGTATTTTAAGAGGACTATATTGGCTGCTGTGTCATGACTAGGTTATGATAAAAGGCAAAGTTCGATGCAGAGAATCCTGTTAGGAGGCTGCTGTAATAATCCAGGTGAGACATGATGGTGGCTGGCATGCAAGTAAATGTGGAGGTGGTAAGAAACAGTCCAATTCTTGGTGTATTTTAAAGGTATGGGTGATAGAATTTTCTGAAGGATTGGATACAAAGGGTGAAAGCAAGAGAGAAGTCAAAGATTCTGGGCCGGAGTAGCTGGAAGTATGAGGTTGACATTTATCAAGATGGGAAAGACTCTGGGAAGATTAGGAGTTCTGTTATAGATATGGTTAAATTCAAGATGCTTTTTAGATGTCTGATTGAAGAAATGGAGTAGGTAGGTAGGCATACAAATCTGGAGTTTGGAGGAGAGGTCTGAGCTGGTGACATACAGTTGGTAGTTATTAGACATGATAACCAGGGTCTGGGTGTAGATACAGAAGAGGTCTGAGGATTGAGCCTTGGAGCTCTCCAATGTAAAACAGATGAGAAGAGGAGGGGAAAATCAGCTAATAATTCTGAGAAGGAAAAACAAGTGAAGTAAGGGCAGAACTAAGAAAGAACAGTGTCCCAGAAGTCAAATAATCAAGCAAAATGGCACCAGAGAACTGACCACTGGATTCTGTAACATGGACATCATGGTGGTCTCAATAAGTAATGCTTTGGTGCAGTAGTAGAAGAGATAGCCTGAGTGGAGTGGATACAAGAAAGAATGGGAAGACAAGAAGTGGAGACAATAGGTAAAGGCAAGTCTTTTGCGGAGTTTTGCTGAAATATAAAAGGAGACAAATTAAAGTTATGCAAACTGGGAGAAGGAGGCATTTGTCTAGGTTTGTAGTCTAGATTTGATGACATTTTCCTAGATAATATCAACCAAATTAGTACAGTGTGCTTACTCACCTTGGTCTACATTACAATTTCAAAAAGTCACACACTACTATTCCACTGAGAAAGGGTAAAGGGCTGGATTAGTCCTTTCTTTACACTCCAAAAAGAGCTGTTCTCTACTGGCGACTCACAGAAAACAAGACACAGCCATTAGCCCTATGCATAAGCATGGAGGTACCTGCAAGGCTACCCACAACTGCAAAGCCATCTTAGTGTCATCATCTTTAATGACAAAAATATCTTCCTGAATTGCATGGCAGGTAATATCAGGACGTTACATATTTGTGGTGCTATCTCATGTCTTAATCTTCTTGATGAGAGAATTCCAAGAAGTGTGACCTCTTTCTGACCACCATAATACAGTTCTACCATTATTTAGATGCATATGGAGACAAAACTTTAGGAAGTTTTTTCTACAGTGACACCCCAGCCACTCTATCTAATCTAATTCTCCCTTTTAATGCACTGAAGCATGAGTGGCTCTCAACTGTATGCATCTCTAATCAAGAATCTCTGTGCTGGAGTAATTACTGTAACCATTCCTGTTAATAACAATCTCCTCACTCTCTTTGTGATAGATTGTACTATTTGTTCACAGTTTTTCACTCATGCTTCTCTGTAGGTACAGTATATTTCTTTGTCCCATTATCTTTGGGACAAAGATAGCCATGTGACTTGCTTTGGCTACCGGAATGTGAGCAGCTGTGATGTAAGCCATATTGGTGCAAAACCCTAAAATATGCTTGTGTGGTTTAGTTCTATGCCCCCCTTTGCAAGCATCTGCCCTCCGCCACGAGAACAACATGTCCCGCATGCTGGATGCTTCTTCAACCTGGGCTTTGGAATGAGATGAAATGCAGAACCTGGTCAAGCCCAGGGCCCACTGAGCCCAGAATAGCTGCAGCTGGACGACAGCCTCACGTACCATGAGCCAGGTGTAAGTGTTTCTGGTTTTAAGTCACTATGAGTGTGGGACTGTTTGTTCCTATATATACTGATACACTCTTTTATTAGATTGTTATTTTCCTCAAGAGAAAGGACCACATTCATGCCTTATGATATGTTCTCATACCCAGCACAGAGCTGTGAAATTGTGGGCCCCTAATAAGCACATACATAACAGGGTAAGATTCATTATGTCGCTTGGAGCTTGGTTGGCTGAAGTTTGGAATCAATTCATAGTTCCTGTCACTGACACATTGGCTGCACCATCAGGATAAGCTCCTTAAAGTCATGTTCAAAGTCATTCTCACCCTGCCTTCTCATCTCTTGATTTTGGTCTGTTGAGTTATGGCTGATTGACCAAAAAAATCCAAATAATTTAGGCTTCATAAAAGGGGAATTGGGTCTTAGCCAACACATACACTGTTTCTATTACTAGATGTCTCCAAGTGGTTAAGACCGAGTAGAGAGAATCTGCTCCAAATGTGCTTGTGTGGCTCAGCTCTGTGCTCACTTTTGAGTTTAAGACAGGCTGCAAGCTTCTCTTAGAGGCCTTGCTACAAAGAAAACAGTGTAACTCTGTTGTTTCCCCTACGACATTCAGCATATTCTGGGCTTCAGGGGACTTGGAATGTAATTGAAGAGACAGGATGTATGTGTAAATGTCTAAGACAATCAAGAGGTAATTCTTTATAGGAGGACATGTGGTATGGTAGGAAAGAGTTAGTTTGAAAGCCAGGTTATTGCTGGTTCTAGCCCTGCTTTGCTGCTGGTTAATTCAGTTACTTTGGGAAGATCTGTTCACTATTATGTGCATGGACAAAAAGGATTGAACAGATTAATATAAGGTCCCTCCCGTTTTGATTTTGTGACTCTAAGAGAGATCACCAAGCAGTATAATGTCACCAAGTGCTCCAACTCTGGTGCAGGTGTAAAGGACCTCTTTGTTCTCCTGTCCCCTGTCCCCATCTCCAAACTAGTTTGCTTTCAGCCTGGTCATGGGATCTCCTCTGCCTTGAGTCTTGGGCTGGATCTGATGGAGCTGATTTGAGAGTGTAAAGTCTCAGCAAACAAGTCCAGAATTATGCTCAGATACCACAAATTGAACAAGGAGGATAGGCTCTCCCAAAGCTGACTTAGCCCCCAGGAGCACCTTGGGCTGGGGTTTGCCCGAAGCTGCTGTGTTCAGTGCCTGGGGCTCATCTATAATGGACAGGCTTCGGGAGCACGTGGAGGGGGGCTGTCCCCATGACTGATGTCCTGATAGACAATGTCTCTCTAACGCCCCTTCTGCCTGATTGGGATTGCTGAACACCCTCCACCCCTTGGGGGAAGCCAGTTCTCATATGACAGGTGGAGTCCATAAATAGGGCATCTGAGGCTGGGGATGCCCCATTTGACATGAGAGGAGGAAGGGGCTGGAGGAAATGGCAAAACAGAACTTTTAGAACATCCACTGATGCTTTTCTGATTGTTCTTTGGAAAAATACAGAAAGTAGAGATAATCCCATTGGCTAAAATAGCCTGTGAGCCTTGGAGATTAGCTGTCCCTGCTCATCTTGCTCGTCTGCTGCAAATGTATTTAAATTCCCAGCCCAGAACCTTGCAGGGCCACAGGACTGTTTTCTCTGTGTGGACTGTCTTCATTTGGCTGTGTGACTGCTGTGATGTTTCCCCCCATGTATTTACAGGAGCTGGGACCACAGTGGGTTATAACGGACTCACATCAGAGTTGGGTTTTTTAAAGCAACGGAACTCATTAAAAGAAACACACACACACACAAAACACCTCCATTTATATAAAATCAGATTCTTCTGCAAAGTGCTCTTAGCAATTCAGCGAAGGAAAGCGGAAGGTGGTGACAACATAACATTGTAAACAAAAATAATGGCTTTACTTACTCGGGACTCCGGACACCAGCCGCAGGGGGCGCAGCACACGGAACGCCCTCAAAGCCTTCACGTCAAATCCAGCCCCCTTCCCTCCTAGGGCATTGGCCCCGTCAGCTTTGGTTGCTTGTTCTAAAATTGCACTAAAAAGCCTAGAAGAGAGGAAGGAGAAAAGGAGCTGTCAGGACAGTGTTTCTTTGCTGAGCTGGGCTCGGAATTCTCTGAAGGAAGCCTGGAAAAGCAGTTTGCAGCTGCCTCCAGCGCAGGCGCTAGTGAGGAGGTGTGTGCCCAGGAGGGTCCCTGAACATTGGAAATTGACAATCTGCCGGTGTGGGTATCTCCCCTGACATGGGCATAACCACCATCCAGCAGGTCTGAGACAGGCGATGGGCACGCCCTCTGCCATCATAAAGCTGTGAGAACACTTCTGGCTTTGTATGAGCTGGGCAGCCCTGGCCAGAGTGTAAAGCGAGGAAAGTGTGCTGCCAGGGCCCAAACCCTTTACAGTGCCCTCTGCCCCCTCCATGGTATCCTAGCTCCTGCCCTCATGCCGCCTGGCTGTCCAACTCCTTCCTCCTAACACCCCCTCTCTTTGATTTGTACCTGGGCAGAAATAAATGATCTCAAAAAATCTACTTTGTGCTGGCACATAACAGATGCTCAACAGAAATATGTTGAACAAACGAATGAATGATCAAATGGTTAAATGAGTAAGCTTCCAGTGGGAGCAAAACCACACATTAAGGCATGTAACTGAGGCATAGGAATTTCAGCTCTGCCACTCTGTGTTTATGTTTGTATAGTCATTACTCCAGCAAACATAAACACCTACTATGTGCCAGGTACTGTTCTAGACACTGAGACTACAGCAAAATAGACAAAGTACTTACCCTCTTGGAGCTTACATTCTAGTGGGGGAATCAGACAATAAACTAAATAATCAGTAAATGTAGATCACATTTAAAGAGTGATAAGTGATAAGAAGGCAAATGCTACAAGGGAGGGAAGTATGGAGTGGCCAGGTGGGAGGCCTTCCTGCTAGACATCAAAAGGCTGGGAAAGGAACTTGCTCCTTAGCTGATACTTGAGCAGAGGCCTATAGAAAGTGCAGAAGTGGACATAACTCTTTGAGAAGACTGTTCCAGGCCGAGGAAATGGTCATGGTTAGAGGGTCAACAAGTGGCAGGGTGGCTGGAGCAAAGCAGGTCAATGGAGAAGAGTGGGAGATGAAGTGGGAGAGGAAGCAGGGAACCTTTTCAGGTGCTTGGTTTTCTCTCTGAGTTGGAAGCTATTGGCGGTTTCGAGCAGGAGAGTGACATGATTCTTTTAAAAGAATCACTCGGATGTTGTGGGGAGAATAGCCTGCAGTGGGATAAGGCCAAGACAGGCTGCTGTACTAATTGAGGTGGAAGGCGTAGACCATATGGTGGTGCTGGAGAGGGTAAGAAATAGTCAGGTTTTGGATTTATTTTAAGATAGAGGTGACGGGATTGGCTGATGGGACTGGATGTGAGGTGTGAGGAAGACAGAAGAATAAAAGACCATTCTAGCAGTTTTGGTTTGAGCAATTGGAAGGGTGAGGTATGGTGGAATGGACATCAAGGGTTGTATTTTGAACTTTTTGAAGTTTGAGTTGCTGATTTGACACCTGAATAGATATCTTGAGTAGGCTCTATTGGGTCTGGATTTCTGGGGATGGAGCCCAGGCTGGAGACAAAGTTTGCTAGTTATATAGATTGTATTAAATTCAGATCTGATTTTAATTGTCTAGGAGGCTAGTATAGAAAGTGAAGATGTGATAGGACTGAGCCCTGGCCTCCACACTTGAGGGGTCATGGAGAGGAGAAACCAAGGAGAGACTGAGACAAGTGGCTAGAAGGGTGGGCTGCGAAGGAAATGGTTGTGAGAAGACAGTGGTTAACTGTGTCAAGTGCTGCAAATACAAGGATGGACCACTGACCACTGGATTTCACAACATGAAGACACTTGAGATCTTGAAAACAGGTTTTGGTGGAGTGATGGGGACCAAAGCCTAATAGATATAATAAGTTCAGGAGAGAATAGGAGGAGAAAGTGAAGATGGAGAATAGACAGCCCTGTCCAGTAGAAATATAATGAAAGCCACCAATGTGAGCCACATCTGTAATTTTAATTTTCTAATAGCCACATTGAAAAAGTAAAAAAAGAATAAGGTGAAATTAACTATGATAATACCTTTGATTTAACCCAACATAACCAAAATATTATCATTTCAATTGTAATAAATATAAAGAATTATTGAGATATTTGTCATTCCATTTTGTTCTAAATCTTTGAAATCTATTGCCACATTTGAGGTACTGAATGGCCACATGTGGCTGATGGCTACTGTAGACCAGGGGTTGACAAACTTTTGAGATGGAAGAACCTCCAGGGGTCAGCTAACTGCGGGTCACGAGCTACATGTGGGTCTTTGGGTACGTACATGTGGCTCTGAAGTAAAATTGAAAATGAAAATAAAACTATCATAGTTTCATTTATAAAATCTTTAAAGGATATTATTCTCATAAGGGTGATTTCATTAGTTTTATGGCTCTTGCATAATTTTTAAAATGTTGTGAGGGACAGGATTGGCTCTTCCAGGGGTTGGCAAACTTTTGAGATGGAATGTACCTAAAGAGCTGCATGTGGCTCGTGAGCTGTAGTTGGCCAACCCCTGGTATAGACAACTCCACTGAGGAATTTTGCTATAAAAGTAGAAGAAAAATAGTGGTTACCGGAAGGGCATATGGAATCAAGAGAGTTTTGTTTGTTTGTTTTTAAATGGAGATACGACAGCACTTTTACATGTGATGGGAATCATTTAACAGAGACAGACAATATGTCAATGCAGATGCCTTAGATAGAGGCAGGAAAGTTTATCATGTTCATGTAGGGAGGCACATTACAGGGGCATGGATGTGGTTATCAGAACACACGAAAGTTCTCTTTTGATTGCATCTGTTTCCCAGGGAAATAGGAGCAAGGTCATCAGATGAAAATGTGAAAGGAGAGGAGGTACTGGAAGTTTGAAGAGAAAGGGAAAGGTATGAAGGAATCATCAAAGAAAGTGGAAGAGTGAATGAGTACGGACATATAGTAGGACTGCCAGGAGTCCCCGTGGGCCTTGTGAGGCTGGTGGTCACACATGTGAGAGGCTCATCAGCTCAGCTCTGTGTATTTCTCTATTTCTTTAAGTGGCTCATCTTCAGGTATCAAACAGATCTCCATCTAGTTAGATTTGACTAGGGTTGGTGAGCAAGATAAATGAAGAGAGGAATAGAAAGTTGGGTATAAATGCAAGTGAAGGATTATAATGGCATCTCAGCTGGTTGGAAGGAGGAGTGCCCTTAATGGGGGGAGGAACAGAGAAAATGAGGCTGGAGGAATGGATTGTTTGAATTAAGTGCTAGAGGAGTGAGCTGGAAAGATGGGTGGTATTGTTTAGAGATTAGGGTTTTTGCCTTGAGATTATAGTTATGGCAGGATATTGGCTATAACCATGGGAGTGGACAGCTGAGGTAGAATGGAGTCAGGGTCCCTAGGGAAGAAACTATCAAGAAAACTAAGAAGCTGCTAGGGGTGGGGACAGGAGTAGTGAGTGTTGGAAAGAGTGAGAATGAGCTAAGAGCTCTTGTCTTCAAGGAAGAATGGCTCATAGGTGTACAGAGGGCTGCAATAGGAAGTGGGACTGGAAGGGTCTGATGACACACACTTCAAAATTGGAGGGGTTTTTTTTGGTGGGGGGAGCCGTGGTCTGAAAGCAGAAATAAGAAGAAAGCAGGGCCACTCTCCTGACCCCTGAGGGGTGGAATGAGGCATCTGGGAGAGAGGTGGCCACCTCTAGAGACTGCAAGGCAATCAGTCTCTAGAGCCAGAAAGTGAAGGGAGTGATCAGAATGAAGCCAAGGACTCAGGGCAGCACATGGGCCACATGCTCTGTAAATAAAGTTTGACTGGAATTTAATTACACCCATCCTTTACATATGGCTGTTCTCTCCACAGAGTTGAACAGTTGGAACAGAGACTGCATGGCTTGCAAGGCTGAAAAGTTGTACCTGGCCCTTTATAGGAAATGTCTGCAGCCCCTGAATGGGAACTGGACTGTGGGGAACACAAGGCACAGTGGGAAGTATTTAGGAGTGGGGTGGAGAGGGAGAAGGGGTTGAATCAGAGGATGCACAGACCATACGTGAGGGAAGTCTAGAGTCTGGGCTTTTTGTGGTAAGCAAGAAGAGAGAAAAGGGTATTCAGGGGCAATTTCTGTCCTTTGTATCTCAAGATGATTCTACTGATTCACTGTAAGCACCATGTGTGCTAGGCTATGGCCTGTGGTCAAGAAGGAAGCTCGGGTATCAGAAATGGGCCCCCATATCAGACCTGAACTTGGGGCGAGGGCAACTTCATTTTGAGGACTAAGCTAGAGCTTTAAATGACGCATGCTCCAATGTTGGATCCGGAACTGGGAGACTGCAGCTGAGGGCTTGGCTCAAATTCAGGCAGAGTCCAGCAATGAGAGATTTGGTCTAGGTTAAGGATTTTCAAACTGTGTTCCATGGAACTCCTCAGGGACTTCTTGGGCAGTGAGGCCAGAGATGAATGACTGGGGTTCTGGCCCCTTTCCCCATATTTAACAGAGTGGCTTCCCTTTGATCTGTTTAACTCATTGGTCCTCTGAGTAAGGCTTTTTTTGAATAATGGGTTCTACAGCTAAAAGTATTTTAATGACCTTGGCCAGATGACATCTAAATTTTCTTTCTGCTTCTTGATTCTTTCACCTCAACTTGGCAATTTGATGGTTTCACATGTTAGCTGGCGATGCCTTGAATCCCAGGCAGAGGTTGCCAGAATGGGGAAGCAGGCTTCTTTCTCCACAGAGAAGTGTTCTTTCCATTGAAGCCTAGATCACTGAAATGGAGACCAGTTTGCAAGTTTGTCAAACAACAATTCAAATCCAAACCAGATTTGGTTGCTAAGTATTTCCTGGAAGAAAGCAATATGCTTATCAGAGTACAAGATGTTCACAAAATATTATTCAGTGAAGGGGGTGGAGATTAGACAACTTTCTTCTCTTTTAACCCCTGCCCCAACTTGATGCAGGCTATTTAAGAAGTGTCCACTTTTAAGATGTGGTACATATGCACAGTGGAATACTACCCTACCATAAGAAAAGATGAAACAGTGCCATTTGCAACAACATGGATGGATCTTGAGATTATTATGCTGAGTGAAATAAGTCAGACAGAAAAAGTTGAGACTCATATGACTTTACTGACATGTGGAATATAAAACTGAAAGCAACAAAGGAACAAGACAAACAAAGAAACAAAAACTCATAGACACAGACAATAGTTTAGTGGTTACCAGAGGGTAACGGTGGGGTGGGGTGGTAGATGAGGGTAAACAGGGTCAAATAAATGGTGATGGAAGGAGAACTGACTCTGGGTGGTGAACATACAATGTGATATATAGATGATGTGCTACAGAATTGTACAGCTGAAACCTTTGTAATTTTACTCATCATTGTCACACCAATAAATTTTAATTTAAAAAAATGTAATTTGGAAGGGGTTAGCCAATCCAGGATTGGGCCAGGGCCTGCAGGGACTGCTGTTTCTCCTTGATTAGATACTGTAAAGGCGAAACCATTGCCTTATACCTGCCAGTCCCTAAGGGCTGGGTTCAGGTGCGGATGCTTGGGCGTACTTCTCTAGGAGGTGTGTCTGGCAGTTCCTTAGCTGGGCATTAAAGCTGTTGAAAGAAGAGGACAGTGAGGCTCTAGAGGGCCCAGCGAGTCAGAAAGGCAGGGCCGACATATTGGGAGGAAGAGAGATTAACAACGGCCTTAGCGGCAGCAGCACGTTGCCTCCATCTCCAGCAGGTGGAGCTACTGAGGACACTTGGGTTCTCAGGGTGGGTGTGGGGAGGTAGCTCACAGAGGGCTCTGAAGTCCTCTTCACATTTGCTCAGCAGTCCCATTTCTCCATGGTACCAAGGAGGCAACTTCACTTTAGGAAGGAAATGTGAAAGGTCAAAGGGGGGAAGGAAATGCCTCTAGTCACGGGCCACCAGAATGGCAAGACCGAGGTGAGACAGTGGGTCTTAGCCGGGCAGTGGGGCAGCAGGCATGCGCACCCACCTATCCCTGGGCAAGGCAGACTCCCCTGATGTGCAGGAGGCCAGGACAGACCTCCCCCTAAGTAGCTGCGGGGGCTGCCAAGGAAAGCAGATATTTCCCAGGAGACACAAGGGAAACAAAGGGATATTCATTTAATTTTGTAAAGGCATCAGGAAAAGGAGGCATGGCTGAAGATAGGTGGCTGAGCTATACCTTGTGTGTGTGTGTGTGTGTGTGTGTGTGTGTGTGTGTGTGATTTTTGAGTTAAAAGGAGGGGCTGAGATTTAGGCTGGATGGAAAGCCCCTAAGACCAATACCCATAGGGAAGAAAAACTAGGTGGCAAATATGGCCATGTGTGCGACTAATGGGAAAAAAGACTCAGAGGGTCATGTTGAACCACAAGGTGAGCAACTGCTAGCATCATAACTTCTGCGGCTGTAATAGTCACCTAGATGCATCATTTGGAAGCGTGCCAAACCTGGATGCTTCCCTCTCCTCATCACCCCCATGGCCTGGACACCAGAGTGATGTGACTAGAATCTGGGCTGACCTCACGAAAAGTCTGCCCTCTGTGGTTGTGGGTAGCAGCAGCAGCCCAAGGGATGCAGCAAGGGCTAAACAAGCTGGAGATCGGCAGGGTTGCCCAGTGTGCAGCGCGTGGCAGGGCACTCGCTCCCTCCCTCCCAGGGGTGCTATTTGATGCCTACTGGTACTTCCTATTCCCACCTCCCATGCTGTAGTTAAGGCTGTGAATAGGTCACAGAATCGTATGTAGTCAACGCTGACTCACTCTTAAACTTGAGAAAAAGATGTAGCGTCTCTGCCTAAACAAAATGAGTCCCAGCAATGCACCCCCACCTCTCTATTGGTCCCAGAAGCACTGGACCTCAGCCTGGGGCTCTTTTCTACACATGTGTGAAAGGCTCTTGGGAGACTGAGGCTTTGAGAAAGATGCTGGATTTAAAAAGGGTTTAGGGGCATTTGAAACAACCCATCTTAAAGACCTTTGCTATGGTTTACTGAGTTAATTCAAGGCATTTTTTAGTCACTCTTGGTTGATTCTGGCATGAACAGAAGCAGCACCATCTCGTCTATAGCTGCCTCCTCACTCTGAGTCCTCTGGAGCCAGGTCTCTACCTGGCAAGTGCTCTAACTTTAGTGCTCCTCATGCCACCCAAATATCCCTGATGCTAATGTGGCTAAAGGGTGCCACTCATTGGTCAGGCAAAAAAAGGCAAGAAAGGAAAAACCTGAAAACAGTTCCAAGCAACGCTAATAAGCCATCCAGATGGCCTGAGACAAGGAAATAACTTCTAAATGATCTTGCTTTGCTCCTGAATTATTTCCTGCAAGAAAGGCCAGACAGGCCATGATATCATGAGCAGTGACTGCTCTGGAGAAGTCACAGGGGCCTAGGGGGACAGCACAGAAGGATTCATGAAAACAGCTTGCTGGGATAAGAGCCTAGTGGTGTATTGATCTTGGCACTGAAGCCAGTTGGGACTCTGAGGGCGTAAACACACAAGGTGGCCACGACTTGATCACTCTGGGATTAAAGTAAGAAGAGACAACTCAAAGAAGCCAGCTCATTGCTGAAGTGGAAGCCCCCGCAAAGGTGCCAGCCCTTCACAAAACAGATGAGGTGTTGGGACTTCATCAACTATGTGCTGATAATTACATCTCACACAGCACATGAAGGCTTGTTAGGGACAAGTATTTCCTAGAGAATATTTTGTGAAGTTACTAATTCTTTCATAAGGAGATCGTCCCTTTTAAATTTGATGTGAGATTCCTTACATAGCTTTTTATTAAAAAGCACATATTGACTGGTGTCGTCTTATACTGAAGTGCAGCAGAGTGTCATGGGAAGGTGTATTTGATTGGGGTCTGGTCACTCATCACCCAGGTCCTTCAGCGTTCCCTGTGTTCTTCTCACCCACGTGTCTTGAGTGGCCTGGTTTCTTGGGTCACAAACAAGGCCTGCTGTAGAGGTGAGGGAGGCATCCACGGCTCTTGTGTGCCAGCGCCACCCCCATGCCCATGGACTGCACACTCACAGGCATGCTGAGCTAAATTTGCTCCATGATACTGTAGGGAAATTGGTCAGAGGAACTGTCAGGCCAGGTGTGGTTGGGTATGGAATACAAAACCCGATGCAGAGTACTCCCCTTAGGTGCATGAAGGAGCCTTGGATCCATCAAAAGCACACAGGTTCGACTCATGTGTGCGCATGTGTGTGAGCACATGCGTGCATGTGGTGGCAGTGGTGTGAGGTGTGCCTAAGTAATAGCTCCTCTCCCTTTAGAGGAACTCTGAATCCAAAGAGATATTTAATAGATCTTCTCATCCTGCCTGAAGCCCAGTGCTGCAGTGACCAAATCAAGTAGAGATATAAATACAGAAGGAAAAAGAGGTATGTAGTGGTTGATGACAAGGATGAGGACAGGGATACAAAGGGAAGCTACACTTACCCTACGACCACAATTATGAAATCGAGTAAATTCCAACCGTTGCGGAGGTAAGCATTGGGGTGAAAGAGAAGTCCATAGGCTATGACTTTTAAAAATGCTTCCACAGTAAAAATGATGAGAAAGAGATATTCCACTCGTTCCTAGGAAACAAAAATAGAAGAGAGAGAAAAAGAAAATCATTAGATTGGATATTTATAAGGTTCTACCCCCCTGATGGGTCCTGAAAAAAAACACACTGTTACCCAATAAAAGTTAAAAAGAAAAGAAAAGTTTATAAGGTTCTGCCCCCGCACATCTCACATGGAGATGGAGGAGAATGATGCCCCACTGTGGTAGGATCTAGAGGGACACTGGTTGGGGTCTCCCTCCCCTCCCAAGCCAAATTACCAACTCCACAGTCTGCTCCACTGTTAGAGCTCCAATCCTCTGGGTATTGAGGGTTTGTTTTTAAGTCTTCGAATGTCTTCTGTTAAAGTGTGAATATTAGGGTGGTGGAAAAATGACACATTTTTGGGGAAACACCTTTCTTAATCAGTGTACATGTTGTACCTTCTCAGAAGAGAACTCATAATGTCTTGATCTAAAGGGAAACGATGCCTGGACAGAGAAGGGTGCTGAGAAAGGGAGTGAAACAGAACCATGAGAAATGTGGGCCACGCTTTCAAGATAACAAACCCTGAAGATAATAGATATGGTCTTGGGGAGTGTACTACCTGAGTTCTTTGAAATAGAGCAAAAACACAACTGTAAAGAAATCGAGACATTGAAGATCTCTTAACAGCAGCTGAAACAGAGGCAAAACTGCTCACAAACATGGATAAAAAAATTTGAACTCTCTCTCTTTCTTGAGAAAATAAAACTCTTTGACCAAAGACATAGACCGGGTCCTCAGTGAAAATCAGCATTTCCAGGATGGAGACAGGCACTGGGGTAGGGGTGGTGAGTGGAAAGGCTCATTTCTTTTTTCACAGGGCTGGAGGTAGGTAGTCTTTCTCCGCCTCTGCCACCTGAAGAGGGATTTGCATTTACCGCTGCAGCTCCTGTCCGTGGGAGCCCACATTGAACAGGACAAGCTCCCTGGCTCTGTTAGAGCTAGCCAACTCTGCGCCGGTTCCCTGGCTTCCCTCACCACTGACTGCTCTCTCCCACAACCTGCCCCAGGGCAGAGCTTTAACGTCCCCCGCCAGGTGAAGGCTGCCTGGATGCCCTCGTGCTCCACTGCTCCCCACTGCAGCAGCCCCACTCCATCTCTCACTGGACCACAAAACACCAGTCCATATGGCATCTGGTCACAGGTCCTCCAAGCAGGATGGGCCACTCCACAGCCTCCAGGAAGCACTCAACTCAGAACCTCCAGACCTAGTTTCCCATTCTCTACTGGGCCAGGTGGAGCTCACTGAAGACCTCCAGGTCCCGCCCACATTAGGGAGAGGGGAGGGGGCATCTCGCAGGAAGGCTTTCCTCCTCCACCTAGCCTGCTGGAAGGGTGTTCCAAGCCTGGGGTGGGGTGTTGGGAACCTGATGGGTAGCTCTGCAGGGAAAGATTGGCCTATACATGCCCCTGTGCTCCCTTTTTCTTTCTGAATCCCCATTTACTGAGTGCTGGTCTCACCTCTGGATAAAGTAGTTTAAGGATGCAAAGGTAAAAAATGCAGAATTCTTGGGCCCCACCCCGACCTACTGAAGTAGAACTCCTGGCTATGGAGCCTGGAAGTGTGCATTACAGACAATTTCCAGGTGTTTTTGAGGCACCTGAAGTTTAAGAACCACTGGCCCACGTGCTGATGGAGGCTCCGGTCAGGGAGCAACTGTGGGAAGTGAATGGACAGGTCGGACTGAATCAGAATCTCAGAGGCAGACCACCCATCCTTTATGCCCCACCCATTAGAGCATCAAGAAGTTGGTCTGGGGATATGGCTGCATGGGGGCTATGACCCAGCTACAAATCACAGGGTGTGGGAGCGTCAGGTCTTTTTGGGTTAAAATGAACATCAGGATAGTGTTGAAAGGGAAAGCATGTTATAAGGGCACAGTGCAACCTGAGGAAGCTTGTGGAGATGTGGGGGGGGGTGGAGCACCATCAAACAGCCACACAGCCCCCATCCCCATGAGGGTCAGAGCTCTCATATTTAGCAACAGATGACAGAGCCACCTCCTCTGTGCCCCAGAAACCTCCATGGAAATTCACAAAGTTGAAGTTGGGATGAGAAGGCAGAAAAGGAAAGGGAAACAGACATAAGTTGGGTATCTACTACATGTCAGGCACTTTCATGTGTTCACATATGTGTTAGTTGCTTTTATCCATCCATCCATCCATCCATCCATCCATCCATCCATCCATCCATCCATCCATTCATTTTCAGTGTGGAACAACCAGTTGAATTATCTGAAAGTGACTCTGGAGCTCCCTCAAGATTGTCTAGACAATGAGCTTTCTGAGTGAGGTAGCACCCACGCTTAGAGTACCTCCTCTCCAGGTAAGGAGAACAGTAATATCCCAAAGGCTCTGGGAGCCCTATGTGTTGGCAAGCAGGCATTCCAGATAACTCCTATGAACAGCTGGCACCCCCAACCCAGACCGCTTGGCACCAAGCAATCTGTTTATTCCTTCATTTACAAGGCTTCTTTGCCTTGTTTGATTTCCCTACAATGAATGTCAGAAAGCCATGGGGGAAGAGGGGTCCTGCTCCTCTCTACTGCAATGTAGACCCACGCTGCAGGCCAAGTGGCTTCCTGGGCCTGACACACGCCTTTGTGAGATGGGAGGCTTGGGAAACCTGTGGCTTCTCTTGTGGTCTTTGGCCTTTGTAATTCTCCCAATAAAGCCTGTTTCTTAATTTACATCATGTGACATTTGTCCCACACCCCTGGCACATAACAAGTGGAGGTCCAGAAACACATTTGACATGACAGTGAGTAACTCAAATTTTCATGAAGATATTTATGTGCTGGGTGCTGGAGATTTGAGAAAAGGGGCTCCAAAACTGACCTTTGGTAAGTTGGTACAACGAATCTCTTGGTACAATAAGGACAAATGGACAGATGATTCCATAAGTAAGTAAGCGATGCTCTGGAGGCAAGCGCAGCTTTGCTATTTATGGACTTCCCAAGCTTCTGAGATGAAGCTTGAAGGATGAAGAGTTGTACAGGGGAAGAAGGTGGGGAAAGGTCAGGTATTCCAAGTGGAGTAAGAACTAAGGAGAGGGGAAGTATGGAGAGCTTTAGGAAATGTAAACATTTGATTTGGCTGGAGTGAAGCTATGAGAAAATGGGGCTGGAGGGATGGGTAGGAGCAAGATACCCAGGGGCTGTGTGGCCATGCCTGGATGCTTGGATTCCATTCTGAGGAGGCTGAGGACGGCTGGATCAGGTGTGCACTGTAGTCTGGTACTGCCATGGAGCATGACGGTGATGACAGGGGTGGAGGGGGGGGGCGAGTGACCCATGCAGAGATCATGGAGGCCTGAGCTGTTAGTAGAGACAGAAGGACTGGTTGAGAAGTAGGTGGATTTGAGAGATTCTTTATAAAAGATGTAATTTGATTTCTGGTTGCACTTAGGGGTTCAAGGAAGAGCCAGTGAAATAAATGTACTGTCCCCTCCTTGCAGTTTTGAATGTGGCGACTCTGAATGTTGATGACTCTCGCTGTAGTAGAGGACTTGGAAGAGGAAGGGGAAAGAGACATCAGTTCTGGATTTGCTGAATTTAGGGCACTCTGTTGGTGATCAGACACACAGAGGTAGGGCTCAGAGGTGTGTTCAGCCTCCTCACTTTAAAAACTAGGATACTGATAAGATATGAAGGTCAGGGGGGTACATGCTGAGGACAGGGAACCAGATTTCCTGACCTCAGTCCCAAGGTCCGTTTGTCAGGCTGGCCTCTCTGGGTGCCAGGAACCTTTCTCACTGGTCCCCACTTATCCCCAAAGACACAACTGGGTCATGCTAAGTTGTCTAAGGATCTGAGATAGAGCTGAAAAGGGCCCAGGGAGTCAGTAAGAAGGGCTGCGGACATGAATCCAGAGGCAGGGCAGGTGCCTGTGGTTGCTTAGTCTGGACATAGCCATCTGCACAGACTCATCCTGAGAAGCAACGCATCTACTCTGCCTTAGGGGCATGAATGCCTCACAGAATTAATTCCCACAAACAAACAACCCCTAAATCTAAAAACAAACAAAAACACTTCAATAAATGAAACAGTTTAGTTGACCCTTTCAAAACATGTGTTATATTGCCACAAAAACATCTAAGGGCAAATGAATGAAGTGGAGAAGAGCGAAACTGTCAGACTATTGTCTTCCCACTGATGCCTCGCTATCCGGTCCTGTGAGTCCACTCCTTTGCAGCCCTCCTCCTGCCTGCATCCCAAGGCCAGAGCTCTGTGTGCCCTCCTGAATCCTGAGGGGTCCCAGAGCTCTTTGAGAATGCACCCAATAATCAGCATGTGAGCCCACCCTTTCTGTGCTCTTGGGAACCGGGGAACTTTGGAATCCAAGTCCAACAGACTAAGATTCCCATTTCTACTATTCCGTGTTGGGGTTGGAAAGGATAGAGGAGGTATGAGAAGTGCAGAAGAGAGGACAAATCATGGGGCTGAGGCAGGGGAGCACCAGACTCTCAAAGCTGCGAACAGAGGGAGCAGGATTTCCTGGGGCCCCTGGAGGACTCCCTCCCCTGATGGAGGGTAAAGCCCTACCCATCTTGGGGCAGTGATGACTTCACTTTTTCAGATGGCTCCTGTCTTTCTTCTTCCTTTCTATCATTTTCTCTTCTCTCCAGTGCTATATCCTTCTTATCATTTCCTTTCCATCTTCTTCTCCCTTTCTTTCCTCTCTCCCTGCTCATTTCTTAGGGCTACGACTGGCAGCTGGGGGCCCATGGTCACAACCATATCTGAAATATTTAGAAGAATTCAGTGGAGAAAGCCTCAGTTCCCAGGAATCATGATGTCTTCTAAACACAAGCTAATTGGACACTGATGAGTACAGGCTTTCTTAGTTTTCCATTTATCTTTTCATGTACACATGTCCTGCCTTTCAATTACATCATAAGCTTCTAGAGGACAGAGACTCAATTATCTTTTGATGCTAATAATCTAGATTTTGACACCAGCTGACTGAATATCTTTGGGCAAATCACTT